TAAGTGCAGTGAGGCTGCTAACTCTACACGAGTCAGGAGTTCAAATAAAAATAGAAGAGAATCTACAAAGCAAGAAATTACCATTGGGCAGGGAGTCGAGCGAGAATGACTGCATCTGAGAGGTGGCAAGCACACGAAGTTGTCAAACAAGGCCGCTGAAGCAAACAGTGAAAATGAATAAAGAGAGAGGAAAAGATTGTAGGGTGTAAAAAGAGAAGCCGGAGGAGGAAGGGACAACCATGAAGATGGATTTGAAATAAATGGGTAGGGACAGTGCTTGTTAAGCTAACTGCGTGCATTTTGCCGCCTGGAGATTCTTATGTCCTGATGAGACAGAACTGAAGCAAGGTCGTTAATTTCACTTCTCCTGAGTCTTATTGCTTAACGCTGGACCTAAATATCAAACAGCAGTGAGCATCAACCAGTTCCATGGTGAGGTCAACCTGAACTTAAAACCACTAAATCTGGTGGGAACACCTTCCTCTGACAAAGCCACCCTGGAAGGAGCCAGCACTCCTCTGACACAACACAGCAGCCATACACTGCAGAACAGGCACCTCTGAATGCACACACAGCAGGGATGGGAGGCAGCATTCCCCCAGCCCTGCCCCCAAAGAAAAGAAGATGAAAAGCAGAAGCCAGACTGAAAACAGCTGCACATCATGGTGCTGAGCAATATATGTGCACCTGAGCAAGCCTGAAACACACCCTGGGGCAGGTAGGGGGAACAGCGGCTGCTGGGCTATCTGTGATGCACACGGGATTAAGGGATTAATCATCTCAAACTAAATGGGTAAGAGAAGCAATGGGCTGACATAAGGCATCCCTGGGAACCTTACGGGCAGTTACAGGACAATGCTCAGTCTACCAGCTGTGATGAGCTTGCTCCCAACACTTCACCAAGCCGAACAGCAGATCCTGGCAGCTCTGGGCTTACTGAAAGGTCTCCCAGCCTAACAAGCTGAGATGGGACTGCCCAGCACGCTGCCAGGACGCACAGCAAACACAGGCTCAGAGAACTGCTTTGACACCCTGCCCGTAGCCATGCAGCTTCAGCAGAACTCCCCATGTGGCTCATTCACTGCTTTTTGCCCTCTCTGCCTCTCCCCACGAAATACCAACCGCTTCTCTTTGCCTCACAGGTTGCATGGCTTAGCTTCTCTCCATCCTCACCTCTAATTCACCCCTAAGCACATGGGGAGCATTTGGGATAAAGCTTCAAGAATGCATTCGACATAAATTATTGTTCCCCTTTTAAACGGATTACAAAAATCCTTTTATTACAAAATATTAAAATGTTCAAATTATTGGTGTGGAAAAACGTTTCCTGGTGGTAAAGTTTTTAAAAATTGAGGTTTTAATCACAAACATAATCCTTCCTGGCTAACATTTCCAGCCTTGTGAAACATCTAGATACAAATTGCAGAGGCCTGGCTGCGCTGCAAACAAAGGAAGATGCTGCCTGTAAATAGCTTAGAGGACATCAGAAGACACTTCTCTCATCAGCAATCTTTTTAGCTTAATATAGCTCCTCTTTGCATAAAACATTGACATTTTTGCAATGTTTGGACCCAGTGGTGCAAATGTTGATTGTCACCCGCAGACACTGGAGCGTACCTTCAGAAATAAGCAAGAACGTTTTACAGGCAGTAGTTTCACTTGCCTCCAAAATGCCGTATCTTAATATTTCATACTTTATATATATTTAAATGTTAGTACCACTGGATAAACGCTAACGTGCTTTTATGCTAATGCAATCACTGAAAATCCAGATAATGCTGTGTATTGGCATATTCTGTTAGTGAATTATGGATACCTAAATGTACAATCCCACATGCCTGGCAATTATTTTTGTTAGCGCATTTAACTTTTATTTGCAATCAGAGCACTTGAGGATTGTTGAAATGACGTTTACTTTTGTAAACTGCTGAATGGAAAACATTTTGTTAAAGGTTTAAGAACAGTGAGACTGCGATGAGGTTGCAGAGTTGCAATAAGGGCAGCGCTCAGAGAGCTCTGCCAGATGGAACCATGTTTGATTTGGTCACAAACGCGGCCATTAAACCCCAAATGTCAAAAATGAAGGACGTATAAGAGAAGCAAGAGATGAAACTGTGATTTCTTTCATATCAGATCACCCTCTTCCAAGAGGGAGGCTCACAAACAGAGGCAGATGGATACCTGAAAGACAGCATCCGCCCCAGCAACACCCAGGCAAGCAGACTCTGTGAGTCCTTGCTCTGGGAGCCAGACTCCTCTGTGCTAGGGTTGCTTTTCAAGCAAGGAGCAGAAATCTTGAATTGCCCCTACTGTGCCCTCTGCTTCCTCCTTCCTTTGCTGATTCAGTATCTTGCACGGGTACACGGCCCGAGGGCTCCAGTTGCTGATACCTGAAAACCATTCTCTTCCAACTGGGTTTTCAGCTCTGAGCCAGAACTCAGCTGGGCTGCAGGCAGGCAGCTCCGGTGCCAGCCTGAGGCAGCACTGCCACCCATCCTACAGCAGCAATCCACAGTGAAACCATGGCCAAAGCAAGGGGAGAAATCTCCAACTCCTGCTCAGCCTGCAGCAGGTCACTCAGCAGTGAGAAAGTTCCAAGTGTGGGGACAGAAAGCAGGGTTTTGGTTTTAGACTGTGAACTTGGGAAATCACTGGACTCTGTATGAGAGCACGGCTGCTCTCCGTGCAGCAGAGCAAGACCAGGGTGATGCACCTGGCTGCTCCATCCCTCACCGGCTTCCTACCTGAACAGTGGGAGACAAAGAATGCCTCAAGAACACCTGAATACTGTTTTTGCTTTTACAGCTTCTGGCTCCGACTCAGACTGGGCTGAGACTGCTCAGAGCCCTGTGGTTTTTTTGGGCATAACACAGCTTTGCCTATTCATGATTGCACAGGTAAAGCTCCCTCCTCCAGGTTCAGCTACAGAAGGAGCTCCAGCTATCCCAGGCTGGCTGAGGAGCTGCTACAATCACAATCCGATTTGGGGGGGGAAGGTTTGCTTAGCTTGAAACCTCTGTCCTGAGCCAAGCTAGCTGCTCTGGTAGGTGGCCAAGCAGCCGCCAGGTGGTTGTGAGCAGGAGACTGCTGCCTCTTCAGTGCCCAGACATCCAGCACAGGACTTGGTACCAGCACGTGAGCACAGCTCACAGCCCCACAGCCCAGCATGCTGCACCTCCAGGCACTTCAAGAACATTCCTACAGCCTGACTGAGCCCATTAGGAACAACTCTGTGGGAAAGAAATAAATAACAACCCCTTCGAAGAACAAAACTCAACCAAAAATGCGTGCCATTAAGTACTTGAAATGCCCCTGGCAGCAAAAACAGAGCACAGAGTAACCTGAGAAAATGTATGAACAAACAAATTAAGCAGCTAGCACAAAGCAGATGAGTTGGCATGTAGGTGTCTACTGAGAAAGCTTAAGCACAGCACAGCAAGGAGAAAAAAGCAAACTCAAAACCCAGGCATAATATTTCCTCACATTTTGGAACTGAGCTCTCAGACAGTGCTTCATCTGAACCACTCGAAATTACCATCTGTCAGAATATCCTTTAAAGAAAAAAGGCTTAAAAGTTTCCAAAGTTATATTTTCACATTGTCACGTTAGAAAAGTACAGTTTCTGTCCAAAGAAAAGCATCTCCAATTGAGGAACACCGAGCAAAGCATTAGTTTAGTCAGCCACTGCTGCATGCTCATATCATCAGACAATTAATTTCTCGAGTCCTGATAGTGTCACATTAGCTAAGTCAGGGAAGACAGGATTCAATAGTCCCTTTTCATTTCGTAGGTTTTCTTTAAATGTTTCCAGAGCCCCTGCATGACTTTCTCTTTATGAAACATAATTAAACATCCACATGCCATTAAAGATCCTACGGAAAAGATGATAACGTTGTTTCAAATATAAATGTGTGCTGGCATAGGAAGAGCAGGTCTGCATTTCTGAAGTGAAGGAATGAATCTTATTGTGATCAGTGAGTCAAAGCTCTGCTTCGAACCACGAGCTGGATCGTTTCCTGGTGTAAATCAGGGCACCTGCTCTGTCACTGAAGCCACATTACTTTACACACGCTGTAGACCAATTGCAATGTATGTAAGATTGCAAAAGAAATGTAGATCTGTAGACTGTATATTAGAGTAAGCGATAAATAATTCCTAACGGTGGAGAAAGTGACCATATTTTCAGGCATAAAAATAGGCAGATACAATAGCCCTGACTTTCAATCTTCAGTCTGAGCTTCTGACCTTGTAGTTTGGGTCCATCCAATGCATTTGTGAAGTCTCAGATGAATGCACAACACGTACATGCACAGGACAAAGCCCAGAGAGCCATCGAACCAAACGAGCGCCAACACAGCCCCTTCTGCCCATGTGGCATGCCTGAGTGACACAGATTCCCAGCTGGCACCAGGCAGCCTGGGCAGCTCCTTTGGGCAACAGCCATCCTGTAGTGAATCACAAGCATCCTCCAGATCAATCTGTAACCCTGTGCCTAATTGAAACCCTTTAGGTTATGCCTGTAGGTCGGAGGCATGCGTCCCCAGGGCTAAAAACCTTCAGAGACCATGAGAATTGCTATGTTTCTGAAATTAGCATCTCACTGTCCTAAAGCAGCCTAGGAGCAAGGAATAGGAGGGAGAAAGGAGTTCTCTGGGCAATCATAACTGCATCGTCCTTGAAATCTTCCCTCTCAAAAGGCTGCTAAGGGGAAAGGAGGAGAGGCAGCATTATTCCCCTTGGATTGTGCAAAAATGAGGAGTTCAGTGAAAAAAATGATCAGTTTCCATGCTGAATTACTTCTGGCTAAGTCTAATGAGCAGGGTGAGGATGCACTGAAGACAAGCCTGGGGGAAGCGAAGGGCTGCAAGGAAAAGGCTGGGTCAGGGAAGAGGAAAGTTGGGCGCCGCAGGAGGAGAAAAGTTGCCAGCTCTGGCTATTGAAAATAAACCAGAAGGCCGAGGACAAGCACCTGGCACACCTGGTCTGGGGGCAGAGCTCACCTGGAGAGCGCAGCTCCCAGCACAAAGGCAGCATGCTCCTTCAGGACAGCCTCTGTGCTGTTCAGGCCCTCGATCACCAGCCGCAGTCCGCCCATGGACAGGAAATCCTTCGCGTTGTCCACCTGGGAGAGAGCAGATCCCTGTCAGCACGGAACGGCCGCAGGCCTCGAGACCCAATTCAACAGTTCTTCAGGAGCTCCTTGCTTCAGAAAGAGCATCATCTCCCCGGCCCTCCCCATCTCATCAGCTCTGTGCTTCAAAAGCAATGCTAGGAAAACAGCGCAATCGTGGCGGCTGGTTCATGCAACGCTGCCGGTGAGCGATGGACGTCACGCGTGCGCTGACAGGTGGCTATTATCCAATGCAGAGGCATTGCTGACACTTGGATCAGCTATCCAAACTTCCCTCAGCACGTGCTTTGGAGTGCAGGAAACCTGGCCGTGGCAGAAGAAAAAATTCTCAGCTCGCTCCCCTGAGCGGCCATTACTGGAACCCAGGGAATCATCTGTTTTGCAAACGCAATTAATTAATTAATGCTCTAATTGTAGCACCAGGAGCTACAAATGTCTAAGAGCCTATCAGCAGCTGCATGGCTGTTCCAGGCGTTTTTCATGACCACGATCAGAACTTCCACGCAGATGTGAACAGCAAGCAGGCAGCCCCTGTTTGGGAGCGCCAGCAAGGAGCTTCTCCCTGGGGCAGCCCATACAATGATTTTTCTAAATCCGACAATATTGGACTAAGTGCCACTAGGGAGAACTCTAAACGTTAGTGGGAATTCCTCCAGGAAATTCATCGGTCTCTGACTTGAAGGAGACGTGGGGCAAACCAGACAAAAATCACAGCGGACATCTGTTCTTAGGGAGGAAATTAAAAAAGGGCTCTGGGTGGTTTGCAAACAAAAGTCAGAGAAACAGAGCCAAGTGCTTCCAGTACAAAATTCAGTCCAAAGTCAAATCGATGCGTTTTGGTTTTAAAGGCTTCTTTTTGCAGCTTAAAAGGAAACGTCTGACAAATCTGCCGAATTGCTTGTGCAAAAAACTTCTTTTGTGAAAGACACAAAGACAACAGCGTCATGTTGGTGGATGCAAAAAGAACATAAAAATTAGAATAACTGCTCCAAATGACCTCCTCATTTCAGTGAGAGCGCTGAGCTGACAGAGTAGGACAGAATAAACACTGCACACCGCTTCCATGTTCCCTCTTAGCTGACAGTTCCTTCGTGCTCAGCTTTATTTTTATCTTGACCGTGTGCCTTCACCAAAATTGGCCGTACGTCAGACACTTCAGGTACCCAAGAGAACGAAGAAACTATTGAGCTTTACGTCCTACAAGACTTTACAAGCACAAGCTGGGGAGCTACAGCTCGTCCGTTCTCCCCACTCACACAATAGCTGCCAATTGCTGCCCAGCTGCGAAGCTGCCAACAGAAAGCCCATCTCTGTGGGTTTGCTGCAGCTCATTCAGGACTTGCAGCAGCTGTTTGATCCCTTCAGATCCTACTTTTAACTGACCCTATAGGCTGGATCTGCCAGACCTCTTACTTTTCTGCAGGACCATCTTTGTCTACAAAGAAACCTGTACAGCAAACCAAATTCACCCACTGGCAAGGGCTTTGATGGCTCCAACTGTAAGAACCTGGAAGCTGTTTTAAGGCCAGAATTGGACATTTCCTTCTGCTCAGGAGGGAACAGACTCACTGTAACAGCCCAGAAAGTTTGCATCCAGCAGCAGCTGGGATAAATCCAACCACTGTGGCATCCTCACTGAGAGCAGAGTCCTGCGGGGCAGCTCTCCTGCCAGCCACAGAGCTCTGCCACAGCATACTAATTGTGCTGCAAAGCTTATTTTGAAGATGCATTCCTTTTTCAGCACCATCCTTTTCTTCTCTGGAGTATCTCCAGAGTGGAGTGGAGCTCCTTCCTCACCACTGAGAAAAGGAACACCAAAAACCACAACAGAAGTCCCAAACCCCACAGCTCGGAGGCGCTGACCTCTCTGGGGAGCAGAGGCTGCTGAGAGGCACTTTGCCTCGCTTCAGCCCACTGAAAACAGCACGAAGAAAGGCAAAGATCAAAAGAGCTCTTGACTAAAGTACACAGGCAAGGATGGAGAGGAGAGGGATGGGGGAAAAACAAATATGACAGCAGTTACTCAGGGAACGCCTTCAAATTGGAAGAGAAAGAAACTGGGGAGGGGAGATGAGAGAAAAAATGTTGGAGAATAAGAGCGAGGAAAAGCTGTATGTCAACCATCTGCAATGGAGAGGAAATTAGCAACGAGAAATGGTGTAGCATGTCAGAGGAGGGAAAGGAGAAAGATAAGGAGAGTAAATAATTGAGAGAAAGAGCCTGCAAAGCATGGAGCCGGGCTTGGCTCCACACACTGCTGTGCAAGCACCGTGAACTCTGTTTATAAATGAGTTATGCTCTGGCCTCTTCACATTTGCATTTGGTTTTTATGCATCACAGATAACCTAGCAAGCCAATCCTTCCTCCAAGATGGGCTCCCAAACATGCCAACTTGAATCCTGACTGATGAGAAGCAAAGCACAGCTGGCAACCCAAACCTCAGCAAGTACGGAGCACTCGGGCCAGCACTCGGGACAAGGAACTCAGCCCCTGCCTGCAGTTCTCCTCACGGTGAGTCAGGCCCAGGATGCCCAGGACCGCGCTGTGAGCAGGACGTGATCCTTAGGGCACAGTGCGTGCTGCCCCACAGGCGCCCTGGGAGATGAGCAGCCAGCACAGCGGCAGCAGGTTGCCCCGCTCTCTGCCTGTGCCCCAGGCTGCCGCCCCGGGCCTCCAGCAGCACAGCTCTGCAGAGGGCTCCCGGCCGTGGGTCAGCCCGCTGGAATGCGGCGCGGGCGGATCTGGCTGCTGTTCAGTAATTACATTAAGCCAGTGCTGCTCAAGTCGGTACCGAGCGGAGATAACGTTCTGGTCCCTGGAAGAAGAAAGGGAAGGAAAAGCCATGCTGGCTTACAGAACAAGTCATATTTCTTATCAGCTTCCTGCCTGATGAGAAGGTGCTGCCCAGCCATCTGCCCCAGCAGCGCAGGCACAGAGCGGCGTTGTGATCGATGCACAAAGGAGCCCTCTGTGCTCCGCGCCAGCTTCCCTGCCATTTCCCCTGTCTGACCCATTTGATGCTGGATGCGGTTCCCTTTGATGCTCTGGTCAGCCCCTGGCCAGGCAGCAGAGATCATTTTCCTGCTGCTCGTGATGCTCTGAAATCATTCACCCCAAGCAGGCGGGATTTTCTGCTGGAATAATCCAGAACACGATGTTGAAAAGCAAAGGATCCCAGTGTGTTTGGGGGCTGCTTCTTAGCATGCTGGCCTGATGCTCTGGCACCCTTAACCACAAGAATTAGCCCGAATATAAATAAATACAAAGCTCTGAGGGTGCCCATTGTTCACACTTTTTCTCTGAGTCAGACAGATGCCGTCAGTGAAACAAAGGCACAGAGAACAAACAGCAAGGAAGCCTCTGCGTGTGCATGACAGAGATTCAATGTAGAAACACAAGACAAAGAGCCCTGGAAATAGCACTTCTATTAGATGGAGCATGGGACTCCATCCTCAGCAGCTCACTCCTTCAGCTAACTTTATTATAAAAAAAAAAAAAAGTGTTTATTTTTAAATAAATGCCATTGCAGTGAAAGGTCTTGCACTGCTACGTCTCAAGAGTTCATATTCACTCTCAGAAATGCTGAAGTCAATGAGAGCGACTGCTCTCCCAGTCTGCTCCAGTTCTCCCAGTTGCCCCCATCCTCCCCACAAGGCTGTGCACAGCCTCAGTGCTTGGACACGCAGCGGCCGACCACAAAGGAGGAGCGTGATATGCTCACAGCCTGCAGCAAACCAAAGCTGAAAACGTGTGAGCATAGAGCACACAAAGAGAGATCTGAGGGGGAAAAAGAAAATGTGAGCGCAAATTGAAGAAGACAGATTTCAGGAGATATTCAGCCTCACACACAGTTAATTAGCACAGCTCAGCTGATGCTCAGCAACTGGCCGTGTGCCTGAGCTTTCAGTCATTTTTGCCACCAGCCCAGCTCTGAGAGAGGCTTTGCAGACCATTTCTTTCCCATGCCAAGATAAAACGCAGGCCTTGGGTGTCTCTTGTCTTCCCTGATACGAAGACATTCTCTGTCAGCTGCTGTAAGGGCATCTACCTGCAGCCACAGACACTTCCCATGGAAGGAGAGAGAAAATACTATTGCTTTCTTCTAGCAGCCACCACTAATGCTCACCCACAAAATTGCAGTTAAACCCATTTTCACAATATTAACACATATATAAAGAAAGAAAAAGAGGACAGGAAAAAAAGCCTGAGAACAGACAACAAATCAAGCAACACTAACCCCTAGGAAACTGCTTGCTACTGTTACGAGTGCTGATTTATTCAAACTCGGATAAAAAATAAGCCTGCAGTAGCCCTGCACTATCTGTTATTGTCCCAGGATTATGCTAATTAAGGAATTTATATTACCTGATACTGATAAGAAAAATAAAACCGCATTTATGATACCTTAGTCCCTGGATTTTACATGGTAGATACAAATGTGTTTTTGTTACCTGGTGAACATAATATTCAAGATCATAAAGCGCCGCTACTTTTTCATCCAGCGTGGAAGCAGAGCTGTTAAATTTGCTGATCAGTTTATCCATGATTTCATAATCCGTCTCCATCTTCACATTGAGCTTTTCAAACTCTTCCTTCAGTTGCTCTATGGGACGGAACTTCTTCCTTACTTCTTCCTCGTGGGCCTTCAAAGCAGGAGAAAACCAAATGAGAAGGCAGATGAAGTTTAGCACGCAAACCCAACCCAGGTGTCCAAGGGGAACCCAGCTGACTGGGGTTACCACAGTGCGGTAGGGGGGGGCACCCTGGGAGAGGGAACACCTGCACTGCGGAGCTGGGCAGCTGCTTCTGCAGCCTGATGTACTGCCCTGCCTCACTGCAGGTCCCACCACACACGGGTCTCTGTCTGTGGACTGCACAGGGCAGCCTGGAACCCAGAGGCTCACAGAGCAGCACTGCACCATGCAGCACTTATCCAACCGAGTGCAGCACAAGCAGAGCAGCCTGTTAACTGTAAAACACCAGCACACATTCCCCAAGCAGCTTAGCCTGCACCTGTACACCTTTTCTACACCTTGTGAACCTTTCAAAACAACACTGAACACAGAGGTAACAAGCACTGCTGGTCCTCATTTGCCTGTATGGGGATGTTCTCAAGACCCGACTGCCCACAGCCCTGGGCAGGCTCCCCGACGTCGCAGCTGACCATGCTGAGCAGTGTGCTGCACAAAGGGAAGGCAGCTGAAGCGCTGTGCCACGGGGCTCGTTCTAGGACAGCAGACATTGTGCAGCACTGCTTGTACAAACAGCACCCAGAGGGCTTTGAGGAACCAAGAGCAATGGAAGGGTGTGTGGCAGGGAAGGAGAAGGCTCTGCCAGAGATCTGAGCCCAGAGAGCTGCAGCATTGGTGACAGGAGGGGCAGAGCCTGCTGCTGCACACAGGACACAGAAAGCAGAGGGGACACACTGAAGGTGGGCTGCCCAAGAGCTGGGGAAAGCAAGAAACAGAAATGGAAGTAAAAGCAATCTAATGATGTACAATCTGCACTAATGATTGCCAGCCTAATCACTATAGGAACTGCACAGACACAGAGAATGCTATCCCAACTCCAGCCACACAAAAGAAATTGCTTTTGCAATAGCATATACAGGAACATGCTTGGTGTAACTCAATTTACTTTGACACAGTTACTTCAAGGATGAATTTGCTCCCTGCAGGAGAGATTTTAAATGGAGTACTTTAGGTCCATTAGATATAGCTGGTTTTAGCCCAGTTGCTGGGACAATAGCTATTCTAACAGGTTTTTCTAAAATATGGCTTATTTTCACATAATAGAGTGTCACTAATTTTTGCATTTAAATGACACTCATTTCAAGAAGTCCTGCTATCAGTAATGCTGGCTGCTGCATAAATAATCTTACAGTAAACAAAACACTGCCCTGATGCCAGATACAGGAGAAAAGATTTTCTGGACTCAAAGACTATTGCCTTGATTCCCACCTCGATTTTCCTTCAACTTCAAGGCAGCAGGAGGAGCTAGGGCTTAAGGAAATACTTGTAAGCAGAAAAGGAGAAAAAAGGCTTTGGTTAATGTGATGGATCATATATAATCCACCCATGCCATGCCAGTGGCTGCTCCTGTCCTAGGAACCAGCTCCAAGCAGCACACATATTCGGTTCGACTTCAGATCGTCTCCTCTCTGTAGCCAAACAGGAAGTTTACAGCTTCTGTAGGCAAACTTCAGCCTGTGTTTCAGCACAGCCATCTGGTTTTTGCCACCCAGGCATGAGATTGAAATCTTAAGCCATAAGATCCCTTCTAGATCCAGGCGTTCAGAGGATGCTACATCCAGTGGTTGCTCACTATCACTGAATTCAAAACAGAAGGGACTGAGCAGTATTTTCTGTACTTCCTCATTCTAATGAGGACAACAAACAGCATGTAACTTCCTTTACAAATATCCCCACACTGAGATTCATTCCACTTTGGGGGTTTGCAGACATCTTTGTGAACTAAGTGGCTGTTGAACAAATAAATCAAAACAATGGATAAAAATACAGTGCAAACAATGGAAAGGAAATGAGTACATGGGTTCACATAAGTGTCTGCAAGTAATGTTTCTGTATTATTAATTCAGGTCTAATCACAATAGTACCCAAAGAGAAAACTCTCAGGGTTCAGTCATCTCACTGACTGCACCAGCTCTGGGTTCCCAGCAAAGATCTCACAATTTCACATCAGCAGTGGCACGCCAAGAATGACAGCAAGAAATGTGGTGGCTTGCTTTAACCATCAAATTTCCAAGAAATGCTACATAGCGCATTTGCATCAGCAGACCGTGCTTTGCTTTAGAAACAACTGTCCTTACCATTCTTTCTGCCTTCTCACTTTCCTTCATTTTAGCCAATGCCTTTTTGAGCTCCTGGGATGTGAAAGAATTTGTGTCAATATCCATCTTGTTCAGCCTTGCAGAGGAAACAACAACAACAAAAAAAAGCATTATACGAGTGAACAATTTTATCTGTACTATTTTCACCGTAATATATCAGCACAGAATAACACCAGGGGAAAAGAGCTACGAGCACCAGATTACATGCATCTCACTTAAAACTGGAAAAACGCCACACTCAACAAAAGATCAGTCCCAGTGCTGCATTCTGTGTGTGGTTTGCTGACACCTCACCCTGACAATCACAAAAGGCTTTAGAACCTGCTGACCTCAAATCTCAGGTCCTAACGCAGTAAATATTGCTGATTAAAAATGCTTCTGCTTTCATGTAGGAATACAGAAAAACAGAAAGCGTTTCAGAATTTAAGAAAAGATGGAAAAGGACCACTGTGTCACTAGAAGATTACTAAGAACTTGCAAGCTTTAACATGGAGATCTACAGCTGAAGTTATGCTCTTCATCACACACAGCGTTCCACGCAGGGTGAGTCCAACCAGAAGTTCCTCAGAAATGTTAAAAAACAAAGAAACAAAAACGACACTGCGTTGTTCTTTACATGGACCTCGTTGGTTCAGGGAACTTATCTGAGCCATAAACACCTGCACAGGAAAAAAGGAAAGTCAGTCGTTGAGGCATCAGGAAGCGTATGAGCTTCTTTGTACCGCAAACTAGAGAAGTGCCATCTGCAATGGCAAATGCAATGGCAAACCCCTGTGCTTCAGGGAAGAAAGTTCCCCTTAGTAACTGAACCTGACTTTATTAAAGGAAAAGGGAAAAGCCAGCATGAGAGAAACTCTGGACATCAGTCTGGGCGCAGGGAAAGCTGTGTGATCTAAGGAGCCCATCAGCAATAACTTGTGTAAATGTACTGGGCTCAGGTCAACACAAATGAAGCCCCTACAGCTGCTCCGATGCTTTCAGATAAGATTTCAAAGGACTAAATGTAATGCAGAGGTGCCACACTGCAAATGTAGCTTTGGCATGGTAGAATGACCAAAGGAAAGATCTCTGAGATCATTCAGTCCAACCACTCACCTCTCACCAATAGCTCCCACTGAAGCCTTGTCCCTCAGGACAACACTGAAATGTTTCTTGAGCACCTCCAGGGACAGAGACCCCACCAGCTCCCTGGGCAGCCTGTGCCAGTGCACGACCACTCTTTTGGAGAAGTATTTCCTAACGTCCAACCTGAACCTCCAAAGGTGCAGCATCAGGCCATTCCCTCTAGTCCTGTTGCTGTTACAGGGGAGAAGTGGCTCACCACAGCTCATCACAGCCTCCTTTTGGCAGCTGTGGAGAGCAGTCACACCTCCCCTGAGCCTCCTCTTGTCCAGACTAACAATCCCAGCTCCCTCAGCCACTCCTCATCGTGGCACAGGAAGCCACAAAGACGTGCCTGTATATCCACACTCAGCACTTCTACCCACCTTCCAAAGGAAACACAGAAGATGGGGGCCAGTTTTCTGCACTGCTGAACCCTTAAACCAGCAATTAGGTTTCCAGCAGAGACAGCGATTGAGTGTACCAGGGATCCTGGCTGCTAATAAAAGACATGAAACCACAGTTCCTCCAGATCTGTGCAGCAAGAAGACAGGAGCTTTGTGTCACTGTACCTTTTTCTCCTTCTCTCTTCTCTTGTGTCACTTTTCCCACTTTCACTGTCTGGAAGCCGGGCTTCTCTCTCTCCTGTCTGCAGATTTAACCGAACGTGTGACCCTGCAGGAACAGCTTGACCTATAAACAAGAGTGAGGTTGTTTTAGGCCGTGTGCACTATTGCAGGTCTGTATACAAAGGGCTGGAGTCAAATGCTCCTGCTCCAAAGAGCCACACAGAAACCCCCATCCTGCACTGCAGAGACAGCAAGTCGCTCAGTGCTGAGCACTCAACCCTCCTGCAACAGCCTTGTGAACAGGTGCTGCTTCAACCCTGCAGAAATGCCACACTGACCTTACATGCCAGTTCCTAAGCAAGCATTAAAAAACCTACATCAGGAGTGAATTCTGAGACTGTTTGGAGAGAGGGGAATAGACTGCTGAATAAAACGCAGCTGCCAAAATGAAATCAAAGCGCACATCTGAGTACAGCCTGGTGGGCTGAATATCAAGCGTACTGATGTGAGGTTGTGTTGGTTTGGAAATATTGTATTAAAAGGAATAACTGATCACTGCTACCTGCCAACAAAAATACACAGAATACATTAAGCTTTGCTTTTAAATGCACAAAAGATGGGAAATTCAGAGTACTTTTCTTGGTCACAATTCAGCACAAACACGTCATGATGGCCAGCTGTTGCACAGGGATGGAGAGAGAGCAACGTTTGGTTGCTTCCTCTTCCATTTTGTTTCCTCTCCATTTAATGGAAGAAGTTTGCCTGCTTAAGAAAGCAGGATCGCAGCTGAAGGAACATGGAGATCTCAGCTGCACATACCCAGAAGCACACAAACAGACACACAGCTGCTCACTGGCTTCTCCACATGGATTTCCTCCTTGTCTTTTCTTTGTTTCCTAAGATGATGTCTAGAATAAAACAACTCAGCATGGAGGAGACAGGTAGTGTCTCCTATCAAAGGGAAGTGAAGACAAGGATAATTATTTTGTACAATAAATGCATGTTCTCATACATAAAATCCTCTAATCTAGGGAATCAACAGATTGATCCCTCCTATTGAAGACCAAAGAGACATTTCACTGATCAAAGGATGCAGCGCTTCCTACTTAAGACTGTAACGTTTGTCACAATTCAGACAAAAACGTTTCAAAGCCTAAAGCCATGCAGCAGGTACAAACACACTCACAAAACCCAGGGAAATCCAGTTTGGAGGATTTCTGAGTGCATTTCTGATTTCTCTTTCTGAGTGCATTTCTCTCTCCCACATCCTTTCGACGTTGCCTTGGTTTGATACACAGAGGGATTGACGTGATTATCTGTGTTAACTATGTGAGCCCGGGCCATTTGGCCTGCCCTGCACACAGCCCGCAGGAGAGCCTCATAGCCCAACCACTCCACTGCTCCTTGACCTGTTACACATGGGAGCCTCTGCCAAGAGAGGAGCACCTGTCCACTTCCCAGAGGTCAGCAATGTGCTGTGATAGCTGAATGTTCCCTGTGCAGCCGGGCTGCGATGGCTGCCAAGGAGCTTGTAAGGGCTGCTCCTCCTCTGTGTTTCAAGAGGCATCGAGGCAGGGGACCGCTGGCAAGAGAAAGATGTGTTCAGTGGCTTCACGTGCCGAATATGCAGGACGCCTGCCTCCTCCAAGGACACGACCACCACTTAGCCAAGGAGACAGCGAGGGAAAAGCCGGGTCCTTCCCAGCAGCAGGTGAGCAGCTCTCCTCGCCGGGCCAAAAAGCACTCGGGCAGCCCAGGCTGCAACCACAGCACCTGCTCAAGCAGTCCCTGATTTGTCAAATGCAGCCAGAAATAAATGTCCCTCTTACAACAGTACAGTGTATTCTGGCTTTCATGTTGCTGGTGCATCTGGCCACATTAGTTCACGCTGTTGCCAGGGGAGAGGAACAAGGCTGACGGGCTTTACTTAAAAGAAACATAAAAAGGCAAAGCAATGGAGCAGCCTCCAGTAGGGCTGCCTGACTCCCATGTGACCAGTCCTCCCAGTTTCTATTTTGGGCGAGCAGTAAATAAAAGAGAATCTGAACCCCAACGTGCACGAGCTCACAAACTCAGCATGACCGAATTAAGGACGCTGCCATCAGAGAAGACACAAACCTTTCCACTTCTGCTTCTTTCCACTGTCCTAAACGAGATTTGACTAAGACTGTCCAAAGCCCAGAGCAGAAATCTCAGCTCTGATGTATTTAAACGGCATTTATTGCTGCAGGAGTTTCTTCTTGCCACTGTGCACAGCAGCACAGGTTCATGCAACAGCAGGACAAACATATTGCCTTATTAAATAAAGCAAGAAAGACAACTCTGCTTTCAGTGAAAAGATCTGTGCAGTCACGTAAAATATTCCAGATGTTTGAGGCAGGGTGAGGGCCGCAGCCTTGTTCAGTTTGGGATATTCCTGAGGGTCATTCACAAAGCATGTTTCAGGGTGGGCTGACTTCAACAATGTGATTAAAACTGATTTAAATTTGCAAGTTGGAAACCCTGCACGTTAATCTCACTGCAGCATGTAGCTGCTAGACACTTCCCTCAAAAATAGTTGATTCTCTTTGATTCCTATAATTTGACAGTATTCAACAACTAGCAGCACGCACCGGAGCTATACATATGTAAGCAATTACACAGCTTAACGTTCTGTTGATACAGAATCATATTCTTAATAGCTTTTTTTTCCTAGAGGAATTCATTTTTACTTATTGTTTGTATTAAGTTGCATTTGGGAACCAAAGCTCAATTAAAAAGAGTAACAACAATTTTATATGTAAGTGATTTTCTGCCCTTATTTTCTCCTTGATACCTCTGAAAAAGAAAAGCTTACCCAAACAGGTGTGTGTCACACACTCGCACGCAGAACCGCGCTGTTCCTCACCTTCCAGCGACCTCAGACTCCTCCAGCTCTACCCCTTGTCCCATCCCATGGCCGCTTCCCCACGCAGGGATGAAGGCTTTCCACGTCATCAACACCTCCGCTCACATTCACCCAACCAGGGAGCGGTTGCTCACGCTGCCAACACCCCGCTTTGGATGTGCAGAAAAGGCCGGACTCACCCAGGGAGGAACGCAGCCAACCCTCCCCCCACATCCCATCTGCGTCCTGCACACCTCACACAAAGCCCAGCTGCATGGCTTGGCTCTGCTCCACCTGTCCAGGGACCACCAGTGTACAGAAGCCCCCTGCGGCCCCATATCAACGAGCGCCAGGCAGGAGCTGGGTGCCATGCTGGGTCCCCGAGCTCTTAGCGACGCGCTAGCATTCGTCAGACACGGATGTGCCCTGTCTGTCTTCAAAGTTGCTTAAAGTGACACTGAGGAAGGATTTAATTTATAGCCCTACTCTTTTAATCTTGGTCAGCCAGATTTTTTCAGACATCCGTTTATTTCTCCTTATAATATATTAGATGGAGGAACCACACCGGAGTCAGCTTCAAGACAGCAACTCACTCTCAGGGGTTCTGCTGACATTTATAAACTGATCTTATTTCTCTTGTGTGTTTTATGTTATCAGCTAAACCTGTCGGCTTAAATTATTGCCTTGTAACCAAATCACAGTTATCTAGTATTTTGTTATGTGTACGTTTCTGAAGCTCTGTACCTATATCAAGTTCTGCAGGGGCTGAAAACAAGACTATAAGCAAATAAACAAATGGAAAACATAACACACTTCCATCGCATACGCTGCTAGGGGAAGAATCAGGCACAGCATATGCAGAGTAACTGAAAGCAGAGGGCTGCTGTGCAGGAGATCTGTCACATAACAAGACACAGGCAAGCTCATCACTCCGTTCCCAGACAGGGATGAAATGCCAACTGCGTGTCCTCACTGGGCAAGGAAGGCGCAGTCCTGCTCAGCACCTTTCCAGTGCAGTGCTCCATAGAGGCCAGCTAGTTTTGCCCCTCTGCACAGGGGACAAGGCACAGCCAGGCTCAAACAACAATAAGCAGGCATGACAAATAACAGGGGAAGTTCTGCAGCACACGTATACAAATAAACCTCACAGAGCAATCTGTAACCTGTCTCTGAGTTTCCCCACCTCCACCGGAGCAGCGCTCCATGGACCTGCCCAGCAGTGCAGCTCCACTCCATTCCTGCAGCAGGCAGCTGCTCTGGGTTGGCTTCTGCAGGCAGGAGCAGGGCGCTCAGCATCCCGAGCAGCCCCTGGCCCTGCTCCTCCCTTCTGCCTGCTCTCTTCCCAAGTAAGTATCCTCATTTACCACTGGGAAAAAAAAAGAAAAAAAAAGAGAGAGTGTGTGTGTGCGTGAAAACAAACCACCAAGTCAGTAACTGGCTCCGCAGCTTTTAGAAATCACTTTGGTGTCTGAGAGTGCCACACAGCATCTACCTTTCTTTGCTCTTTGTTTCTTTCAGTGCAGAGGAGTTAGGGGATGGGACTTTCTGATATAGGCAACAAAAGAATCCACAAATCGATGCCTGAACCTTCCCAGCAAAGCAAACCGGCACTGCTGCAATTTTGAAAATAATAAGGCTGCACAAGGCTGGCAGAGCATCGCTGAGAAGCTATCTGATAATCCTACATCTCTTCCTTTAAAAATAATGATTAAAAAGCACAGGGAGACAAATCCTCAGAAGCAGAACAGCTCCACTCCACTGTGGTCCAGGAGCCAGCAGCACCATGGCAGGCGTGGAGGAGATGCTGGGGAATTCTGGCAGCCTCTGAAGCTCTGAAGTGCTGGAAGCAGCCAGCAGCAATACCAGGATCGGCCCCTGGGCACCGACCAGCCCCACTGCAGCTCAGGTCACAAACAACCACTGCCTCTTTGGCACAGAGGACAGAGGACAGAGCCCAGGCAGTAGTTGGAGACAGCTCTGCCCAGGCAACACAATGCCGATGCCCAGCACCTCCCAGCTGCGTGTCCTGCTGCGTGCTCTGCCTGCTGAGCAGGTGGGGGCTCACACGAGAGCCCTGTGAGCACGGTGCTGTCAGCCTGCTTCCCAGCCCGAGTGCTATGTCCAAAGAAAAGAAGAGGAAACCTTACTCTGGAGTGGTTTGGAGCACGCTCCAGCTCCAGACTCACTGGTTAGCAGTGGTGAGCACAGAGGCAGCCTGGGCTTTCTAAAGGCTGAGTCATAGCACTCCTTGGGCTGCT